AGCAGATGACGCGTGAGCGTGAAATTATCACCAAGCGCCCTTTGACATGTGAAGACATGAGAACGGCACAAACGCAACAGGTGAAGCTACTTTCTGATGATCCTGTTTTGTCACATCTCTTTGGGCATTTGTACAACGCTTGGATGGGCATTCAGATGACATGTTTCCGTTGCGTACTTTTTGGCACTATGGGCAGAACAGCACCCCGGCAGGTCGCCCGCCGCGAAAGACGTGACAATCTCGTCGACATCGTGGGCATAAACGCACCCAGGTATGTCGCCCGTTGCAAATATTATCAGATCTTGGATTTCGTTTTCATGGGATGTCGGATACGCGCAGTACGGCATATGCAAAGCACGGTTCGTATGATTCACTTCAGTCACGTTACCCGTTTGAACTTATGTTTGATATGCTTCGCAAAACTTCGGGGGTCTGGATTGCCCCGCGAACGACGTTTGCGACATCGTTGCTTTGATCGGCTGTCGTGGCATCTTTGATCGCGCGTGCAATCTCGATTGGAGAAATTTCTAGGGCCTGGAGTGCCCTGGGAATCATTGTACTTTGTTTTTTTTGAACTGTTGTCGTCGCAACTTCGATCGTCAGGACCTGGGTTGCAATGTATCCACATACTTTGAGCATGTCTGCGCGCAATGCAATGCGTGCTGGTGGAGACACCGCCGGTGTCGCTAATCTTGACGCAGGATGGTTTTCACCTTCTTCTCCCCTTTCCCCCCAAAACCCGTCGCCTGCGGTGGCGGGGAGTCGTCCGGGAGTGCCGAAGCATTCTTTTGGGGCGCACCTCGTGCCCGCTAATGGCGGGTAGGCTCCCCTAAGTACCCTGCGCGACGTGGTTGGTCCTTTTCTTTCCCTCCTCGCCGAGACGGAACTCGTTAGGCGTTCGCGGGGGATGGAAGGGTGAGTCGAGTGGCCCTCTCACCTCTGTTCCCGAGTCCGGCCTCTGTCTCCCGTGGGCCCCAGGCCCGCTCGGAACGGGCGGGATTCGCGGTGAAACCCGCTCGTATTACTTTTCTATCCATCTATCCTGCTATCCTCTCGGCTCAGGTATTGGACAGCATGCGCGCCCCTGCTTCCGCGGGCGCACCGAGACAAGAGATGTCTCTTCCCTCCCAATCGTTTCACGTACGGACTATACGGTAGGTTGCACTGTTTGGTTGTCCCGATGGTGTCCCGATCGATAGTGCGATCGGTGGCGACCGTGCTGTGGTGAGATCGGTAGTGAGATCGATCGCTTGATTGATCGTGATGTTGGTCGTGAGATCGGTCGTTGCGTCGATCACGCGGGCGGCAATGAGACCGAGAGTGCTGTCGATAATGGCATTGATCGTGCAATCGATAATGAGGTCCATGTGCGATCTATTGGAATATCGGCAGTGGGATCGATAGTTGGATCGAGTGTAATTTCGATTGTGAGATCTGTTGACATCGCTCCAGGGTGGTCTCAATCGATCGATTGTGAAACGATTGAGATCGCTCGATTGAAATCGCTTCGATCGTAGGAACAGTTGTGAGACGATTGGGGCCTATAGCGGGGTCGATAGTGACGTGACATCGCGGCCCATCATCGTCATCACTCGTCGTCGCCAACTCGAGGGCGCACCACCAGCATCGTTATCATCACACACACATCGCAGTTGCCAACAGTTGGTTCTCCCCCCAGCCGCCTTATCACCCGAAGGGTGGTCGTATAGGTAGCAAATGGTATCGGATGTTTTGTGGGGACAGAACGAAGCAGTCTCAACGTGGAATCGAGTTTCGTTTTTGGTTCGTGTGCGGGCGGGAGAGACAGATCTGCGCGAAGGCGACGGTGTGTCTGCCGAGGCTACGGCTATGTCGGTCAAAAAGGTTCTTTGCCTGTCTCGCGGTGGCCCGAGACAGTAAGCGTTTTCCCGTGGTTGTCCCGCGGGTCGTCCCATGGGTTGTCCCGTGGTCGTTCCCTGGGTTGTCCCGTGGTCGTTCCGCGTGTTGTTCCGCGGGTTGTTTAGTGGTTGTTCCCTGGGTTGTCCTGTGGGTTGTCCCGCGGGTTGTCCCGTGGTCGTCCCCCAGGTTGTCCCATAGTCGTCCCGCGCGTTGTCCCGCGAGTTGTCCCGTGGTTGTCCCGTGGGTTGTTCCGTGGGTTGTCCCGCGGTTTGTCCCGTGGTTTTCCCGCGGGTTGTTTCCCATGGAGGGTCGTCGGAGTTGCCCCGTGTATTGTCCGCCGGTTGGTCCCGGGGTTGTCCCATGGGTTGTCCTCTGATTTTCTCGCGGGTTGTCCCGTGGGTTGCCACGTGATTGTCCCGCGGGTGGTCCCGTAGTTGTCCTGCGGTTTTTGCCGTGGGTTGTCCCGCGGTTTGTTCCGAGGTCGTCCCGTGGATCGTCCTGTGGGTTGTCCCGCGGGTTCTTCCGTGGGTTGTCCCGTGGGTTGTTCCGTGGATTGTCCTGTTGGTTATGCCGTGGTTGGTCCAGTGGTTGTCCAGTGAATTGTCCCGTGGTGTGTCCCGCGGGTTGTCTCGGCGGTTGTCTTGTGGGTTGTCCCGCGGGCTCTTCCGTGGTCGTCCCGTGTGCTGTCCCGTGGGTTGTCCTGTTGTGCCCTCATTCGTCCCGTGGTTGTCCATTGGGTTGTGCCGTGGTTTGTCCCGTGGGTTGTCCTGGGGGTTGTGCCGTGGCTTGTCCCATGGTTATCCAGTGGTAGGCGCTAATCGAAATTCATAGAAATTTGGCACCAATTAGCATATCAAAATGAGAGTGTCATTGCACAGGTGCTAGGATCGAAATGCAATTCGAGACGCACATCCACTTGCAATCGCCATGCACATCGAACTGCAATTCGAAATGCAAATCGAGATGCACATCGCGCGTCAAGTCCACTTGCATTATAATCGCCACATCCGAATTGTAATGCATGTCAGAGTGCAAATGGGACTGTACATAGAAATGAAACTCGGACATCAAGTCGGAAAACACATCGACTTGCACCACCACATGCAATTGACATGCACGTCGAAGTGAACATTGACCTGCAAGTCGCAATGTACACCGATACGCATATCGAACGTCGCATCGAAATACAAACGAAATGCACATCGACATGCACATCGACATGAACATCGATCCACACATTGAATGCCACATCGAGCATGCACATCGGAATGCGCATCGGAATGCATATCGGAATGCAAACCAAATTGCAATCGGAATGTACATAGCTTGCACATCAGCATGCAAGCTCCTCACCCCCAACTCTCATTATCACCCGAGGGGTGGTTCACGATGGATGATAGACCGTATATGCACAAGTGCTTATATATATATATATATATATATCTATATATATGTGTATATATATACATATATGTGCAGTGTAGACATCTATATTGCGAAGGCCTTACGGCCGATGCCGCTGACCCTGTAGGCAGCGACGACGAAGACAATGGAGGTAGAGGAGTCCAAGATGCCCTCAGATGTCTCGAAGACGGCGCCAGATGCCTGCAAGGTCGTCCGAAGACAGCTCAAGAGGCCTCCTCCAGGGTTCGGGAACGGCTCCAGAGAGTGCCAAGATAGGCAAAGAGCGCCCTCAAGTGGCCCGAGAGGGTTCCAAGACGGCGTCAAGCGAGGTCCAAGAGCGCCCGCAGAGGCTGTCAAGAGTGCCGCCAGAGGCTGCCAAGAGAGTCTAAAAATGGTGCAAGGTCTCCAAGGAGCCTTAAGATATGCTGAAAGGGCCCGCAGACGGCCCCAGAGGGCCAACGGAGCCCCAGGACGCAGGAGGATGAGGGGCGGGGGGCTGCGTATGCGAAAGGCCCCCCCCCGGGAGTCGCCCCGGGACCGCCCCCCCCGGGACCCCCCCCCCCTGCGGGGAAGGGATCAAGGGAAGTGACTCCCCTTCGACTGAAGGACGACGTTGTTCAATTTTTGTGTGGACTTGTGTAGGAGCCCTCGGAAAGCAGAAGAGGCGACGACGCTGTGGGGAAGATGGAAAAGCCTCTCCCACACGCCGACAGGGTCGGTGGATTTGTGTATATATATATATATACACAGACAGTATCGATATTTTCATCAGTCGTGTTTGTTCGCATTGCGCTTATATTCCGTCGGTTCTATGCCCACACGGCTAGATATATAGGTTGGACCCTCCGACGCGAAGCCATCGAACACCGAAAGCTGCGCTCACACCTCCAACCTCGGTGTCACCCGAATGTTGGTCGGTCTGGGATGGAATTTCCAACATCTGCCAGTCAATCTGCCAAGCGCGTACACGCGAAGAAAGCTGGAGGGCCCGGGACTGGATAATGTTGCACGCCCGCGTGCGTGCGAGCGGTGTGTGTGTGTGTGTGTGTGTGTGTGATGGCATGGTCGCGAACGATATCGGCACATGCAGGTTGCACATCCATCGCGCTCGTCCCTGCTGTTTCGTCATGCCCCTGCCTGTCCTTGTGTGTGTGTGTGTGTGTTTGTGTCAAGTCCCAACCCGCCCCGTAGGCCTTGCCCCTCTCGCCCTCTTGGGTACAGTCTCACTCCTGACTCCTTCATTCACCCTGCGCCCTCTTCCTCTTTTCCCTTCTCCTCCTTCGCCCTTCCCATGTATTCGTCCTCTTCGTTCTCCTCCCTCTCCCTCCTCTCGCATTTCGCCCCCATTCCTCCATTCCCCCGCGCTGTGCTCCTTGTCCTCTTCCCCCTCTCCTTCCTTTTCCTATCTCCACTCGCGCCTCTCTTTTCTCCCCTCTCTCCATTTTCCTTCGGGGATGGGGGAGGGGGAGGAGAGCAACGGCCG